AAAATGTCCTTGCAGGGCCCCTTTCAAGGGATACTACATCCACCAGGTGCTCTTTGCTAATCGTTTAATTCGTTTTAAAATTCATATATATATGTGTTCAAAAGAGCAGTATCACATGGAACATACCAATATCTTCTTAAGAAAGTCTCGAAAAGGAATTTTAAAACGAATTAAACGATTAGCAAAGAGCACCTGGTGGATGTCGCTAACGCCTCGTTTGTAATGCTCGTCTAGGAACCTTGACAGCTAGTGACGGAGGTTGTCTCGTCTCCGGCCACGACAAGAAAAGGGGGGAAGGAGGAGCTCCCCTCTTCCCGAAAATTCCTTTTGTGTGTCGCAGAAGTCGCTATTGTCCCCCTAGAAGATTATAGAAGATTAACCCGTCACTCAAAATTCGTACAAAAGCAGCCGCTTCGGTGGCTGGAACGACTAGGCCATCCTCTCGACGTCAGCCTCGCCGTAGCTTTGCTCGTCTTGAGACGACCTACGTCACGATTGCGTTGGATGTCACGTGCTCTAAGCTGGGCCTTCTCCGAGCGCTTGCCAGAGTGGGCCGTTTATAACGAAAAATACAGCCACCAGGATCAAAATACAAACGTGCGATTGTCATTTACGGATATTGTGGATCATATTCAACCTATTTTTGAACACGACGGGAATATTTCAAATTTCGTTGAAGTATCCCTTTAAGTGGTAAAATCTAGTGCCTACTAATACCATTTCGAAGGAAAATTCGAAAAAGCGCCAACGTCGCGTTTGCGATAACAGTGTTGTGCAATGTATACGTACATAGACCGTTTCGCGGTTGCACGTTTTGGGGACCATCTTGAAAAAAAAAGGTTTTAAGTGGTTGAAATAAGAATATATTGCGTTGAAGCTTGTTTGAAAAGGTTGTATATGTTTGGAATACGTTGACGTGCAAAGACGTATCAAAATATATTCTTAAGCAGTGAAGGTTCGCAGGCAAATGTTAGGACGGTGGAACGATTTGGCTCCATCGTCCTAACCCTGGGAACGGGTTGCAACGGGACGAGTTCAAATGGAAAGGGCGTTTAGGGAATGGGTCGAAACTGGACGGGTTCAAGCGGGAATGGGTTGTTTTGGGTCACACCCAACTTGTCAGCAAGAAAGACAATCTCATGTTCGTTCTACCACAGGACGAAAACGTTCATTGCGCATCAAGCACGCTGTGGAAGAGTGGATTATTTTGGGAAAATAACGGGGTTGGTGGTTGAACTTCCGAAGTTTCCCTTCAGTCTATGGCGACATGTATAGGGTGGTCCCAGTCACCAGGCCCGATCTAAGATGGACCGTAAAAATCGACGCCTGCACGTAGCAACTAAACTTTTCGTCAAAGGTGTAATTCACAGATTGTTTTTTTTTCTTGTAAAATTACAAAGCTTAGCTCTCGTTCTGTAAAAACAAATAAGGCCAAGAAACTTGCCAGGATCTACGGCGGGCAGCAACGCAGACTACAGGGGTCCAGTACGCGCGCGGTGTGTTCGGTGTTCGTATTGATAGATGGCGCCATCTCCTTATCGCGACTAAAGCCCCTGTATACGGAAAAGTAGCGACATCCTTTGAAGAATGCCGCCTGCTATCTTGGAGCAATCCAGGCGGCGCTACCGTCGACGCGCGAGCGCGAAAGAGCAAAAGATAGCAATAAAAGTGTGCATGAGGGACGAGAAGGGAGAAGGAATGCCTATTCTGTCGGAGTGCAGTGCATGCTATGAGCTCATGCCGCCAATCAAATAACGCCGACAGTGCAACGTCACGGCTTTCATTGCCTTTCTTTGAGCACATTCTTCGCGGCTGGCAGACCGTGACAGTGCGCTTTTAGCCTGTGTCCATGTACTTCCGTGTCTTCAAGCCTTTGACTGCGCTCTGACTCAAGTATAGGAAGGCCGTCTGCTATCTTGGAGCGTTCCAGGCGGCGCTACAGTCGACGCACGGGTGCGAAAAAGCAAAACATAAAGATAAAAGGTGTGCGCGTCAGAGGAGGAGGGGGAAGATGTCGCTACCTTTCTTATTGAGGGGCCTTAATCGCGACGGCTCGCTACCACCGTGGTTTATTAAAATGCATATAATCTTTTTGAAATGTACCTTTGGTTAAAAAAATAAATGCAAACAATAAAAGCAAAACTTAAGTAGAAAAAAAAAAAAAAAACGCGTCTGCATAACTGGCGGCGCTTTTGCTGCAAACGAGTTTCTTCTGCGTGTCGTCTGCTATCTTTCGCTGGTCGGCTCCCGACGCCATCTATCAATACGAACGCCAAACATACCCCGCTACTGGACTTGGTCGTCTCGGTCGCCGCCCGCCGTAGACCCTGGCAAGTTTCTTGGTCCTATTTTTTTATTACACGAGAACTACGCTTTGTAATTTTACAAGAAAAAACCGACCTGTGAATTACACCTTTGACGAAACGTTTCGATGGCTGCGTGCAGGCGTCGATTTTACGATCCATTTTACAGGGTGATTCAAGGAGAGGCCACGCTATTTAAATCGACCGCAAAATTCGGTTTCTTAATTTATCGCGCTACGACTTTGTGCAGCGTTGCCCACAGATGGTGCATTTTTTTTTTTTGTAAAATTTGCAAAGAGCGAACTTACCTGAGGAAAAAGTAAAGAAAGAAAAAGGCGTAGCTCCTATGGAAACCCAGCGACGCCACCGGTCTTCAAACAACACGTCGCCGTTTCGCACGGGAGACAAAAGATGGCGCAACGAACGCCGCCAACGAACGAGCATACGGCGCCGAGAGTAGGCGTCTTTAGCAGACGGTAGTTTCGACTCAAAAGCGGCGCGCGTTTCGCAGGCGGCGACAGTCGCAGAAACAAAAACAGACGCGGTAACAACAAGGAACTGCAGTTCCTTGTCTGCTAAAGACGCCGACTCTCGGCGTCGTATGCTCGTTCGTTGGCGGCAGTTGGCGTCACGACCGCTTGCGCCATTTCTTGCCTCCCGTGCGAAACGGCGCCGCGTTGTTTGAAGACCGGTGGCTTCGCTGAGTTTCCGTAGGAGCTAAGCCTTTTTCTTTCTTTACCTTTTCTTCAGAAAAAATCGCTCTTTGCAAATTTTACAAAAAAAAAAAAAAAAAAAAAGCATTATTTGTGGGCAACGCTGCACAAAGTCGTTAGAAACCGAATTTTTGTTCGATATAACTGGCCTCTCCCCCTGAACCACCCCTTACATCGAGCCTCGTGACCTTCAGGAACATTAAACATCAGAATACGTGCTTTCTGCGGCGTAATCACAACAACCCGGTTGTTCTATAGCTGATGGTCTTCGCCACTGATCTCAATGACAATTGCTGGATCGCGCTTGCCGCTCCCGCAAGTGAAGCCACCGGACGCAACCCCGCTGGGATACGATTTCCCGTTTTGCTAGCCTTTTGCTGCGGTTTTCCAGGGTGCTGTAGACACGTTTTCTACTCGTTCGTCGTCATTCGCCGAGGAAGTTTTTTGAGACTTGCCGTTGTGAACACGTGGAAAATTTTACGAAAGTGCAGTGTCGCAGGAAAAAGGCACAACGCGTCGAAAGGAAGGGCTGGCGGCGTGTTCAAAGCTTCCTTGGCACGTCGAAGTGCCGTGTCTCTGTGCCTTCGCGCGCTTGAATACCGACCAAGAACCGACGCCGTGTGAATGTGTTTAGCGAGTGCAATGTGCGTGAAGCCGTATCAAAAGGTACAACTCGTCGAAAACGTGTCGCCGGTGTCGCGGCGTGATCAAAGCTTCCTTGGCACGCCGAGTGATGCATCTTTGTGCCTTCGCACGCTTTGATACCGGTCAAGAATTGACGCCGCGCCAAAGTTCTGAACGTGTGTCGCGCGTAGATGCCTTTAGATCATTTATATATATCGGCCATGGAGTTCTGGATCGTCCAGCTGTTCCGGTGAGTTGCTATCAATAAAAGGGGGTGATCTGTACGTGTTCTTATGTACTATATTAACCATGGATGTGTCCCAAATCTACTCTAATAGATTCCGTGGGAGCACGAATAGGGCAACGTTGTGGAGCCAGGGGGGTTTTCGAAAGCAAAAGTACAAGACGGCGAGAATGAAAATCTTTGAAGCGCGGCCGATATGGTCGTGTGCAATCTGTTGACCAATTACAATTTGGCGAGCCGCGCTCAAACGTCAAGTGCAATTAAGTAGGTTGATAATAAGCCAGCACTGATCAGTGATGAGGAGCTGTTGTGCACGGTATTGTGTAAATCGTCTAAGGACGAAAAAAAGACGTACCTTCCCCCCATCTTCCGTCGCTAGTGGACGCTGGATTAAGCTCGTTCCTAAACCGCGAGGGGAAAAGACGCTGATCCAGAGGCACGAACAGCTTCACGCACGTTGCACTCGCTAAACACATACACACGGCGTCGGTTCTTGGTCGGTATCCAAGCGTGCGAAGGCACAGAGACACGGCACTTCGGCGTGCCAAGGAAGCTTTGAACACGCCGCCAGCCCTTCCTTTCGACGCGTTGTGCCTTTTTCCTGCGACACTGCACTTTCGTAAAATTTTCCATGTGTTCACAACGGCAAGTCTCAACAATACACAGAGTCTTCAAAAAACTTCTTCGGCGAATGACGACGAACGAGTAGAAAACGTGTCTACAGCACGCTGGAAAACCGCAGCAAAGGCTAGCAAAAACGGCAAATCGTATCCCAAGCGAGTGAAGTCCGGTGGCTTCACTTGCGCTGCAGCGAACAAGCGGGGAAGCGCGATCCAGCAATTGTCATAGAGATCAGTGGTCTTCGCGAAGATCGAATAAAATGTTATTTATGGCTTAAACTTGAAGCTAAAGGTTTTCTTTGTTTTATTGTGCTTCAGATCAGATATGCGGGTTTCAGATTAATTCAAAAATGGCGCGCTCCAATTAGTTATTTTTATTTTAACTTAATTTACAGTATGCTACGTCTAGATTTATTTGAAATAATTAGTATAATGTTTACTTTCTGATTTGGCGGTCGTTGCAGTGGCGGCGTTTTACAGAATTCGACGTGAAAGTTGTCGCACATTTCGGTTCCCGTAAGCTTCGACTTTCCGCCGCGACGAAGCGCGTCGAGCGTCAGGTTTTATACGTCACAGTGAACATGTCGGACGGAGAGGATGATTTTATGTGCGACGATGAAGAGGATTACGATTTGGTAGGTCTTGCTCGCCGTCTCGACGCGAAATTTCGACGCAAGATCACAGAAACGCATATCGGGCCGTCGATCCAAAGTGACGACGCGAAGCGTTCGCAACGGCGTAAGCAGAAAGAAAGCGTTGACTCGTTAGGCTTAGCGGCTTTGCCGGCGACTCCACAATCTCCCACGGCATTCTTCGTGTGTTTACAGTAGGAGGGACAGTTGCGACTAATTGGATATGTCCCCGTCGCGTCGGTTTTTTGTCCGTATTTCGGAACAGAGACCTCAATTTTGGTTTCAAACGAACTCCGGAAAGGTCCATTCACCCTTTTTTTGTTTCCCATTTGCGCGTCCTTTTTGAAACACGTGCGGGTTGTGAACTTTAAAATAAGTGTCCGTGGTGTTGCTAATCGTCGAGCCATTTATGGCCAAATTCCCTTGTCGCTCTGGGGCGCGTTAACGACTTTAAATGGGTCCTTGGTTACGGTACGGCGAGTTTAACGCGCTTTGGGTGGAGCGATTAGTATTCGGGTACGACGATGATGCTTATCGTGTTTTGACAGCGCACTGCCCTTGAGTGTGGAGATTCGTTGTCAGCTGAAGATCGTTCCGTGTCGTACTTTTCTTATGAAGATTGCCGCGTTTGAAGAAAGCGTTTTAAAATGTCACGTTTGACGACGAGTTTGCTAACGAGGTTTCACCGATTGGGGGAACTAACGTCGACGATCCCTTAGATCCCCTAAAACCTTTGTTAACTGTTTGCGAATTTCTTTTTCTTGTGGATATTTGAGTTGGGTTACTTTGTTCTGATCAAATCTCAATCGCTTTGTTGTGCAGGAATATTCCGAAGATAGCAATTCCGAACCGGACGTAGACTTAGAAAACCAGTATTACAATTCCAAAGCGCTGAAGGAAGATGACCCCACTGCAGCACTTGCCAGTTTCCAAAAGGTAAGCCGCACACATTAACACACTTTCTTTTTGTCCAACATAATTTCCTCCTGTTACAAACATGTCTATTGGTCCAATTCATGTCCCCAGGAATTTTGTTTACAAGGTGCCTCTATGCCTAGGAAATGCTTTTCGACGTCCTAATTCCTCTGATTTCACAATGTTTGTCTATATTTGGCATCAACTATTTTGCGCTGCATTATCAAGCCTATCTCCACACTGCTGCGGGAGCATGTGGTTTTGTCTTGCATCTCATTTGCACGCAGTCTCCTATGAATGAGGTGTTGGACAACTGTGGAAGCTAGGCTAGCCTTCACAATGTACCCTAAAATAGTTGACGCTGCCTCGACGGCTCCGACGCAAACCACTGGCCTCTGGTTGCCCAGTTGGTGGGTTCGAATTCCGACAACCCACAACCTGACGGAGACCCCCAGATCGCAGAAATTAATTCGCAGTCTTTCGCTGGGGCTTGCCAAATGCCCCCTTAGCTTGTTTGGCACACAAGGCCCTCACACCTGTTTCATTTGAGAGTAGGATCATGTTACCTGGTGATTCGTAGTTGCCCTGCTCTGTTGCGACTTCGTGTCTGTTCCATACGTTTGGCCGAATGCAGTGTTCTACGTTTACGTGGAATTCGATTTCCTTTGACACGATTTTGTTGTTTCTTCACCAGGTTCTAGACTTGGAAGCGGGTGACAAGGGAGAATGGGGTTTCAAAGCTCTAAAACAGATGATCAAAATAAACTTCAAGCTGGTGAGTGACGTTTTCTACTTCCCCTTCAAGGGTCACTGATAGGGTATCTATGCTTGCCGAGGTTTTCATTTGAACGCGACTTGTTAGAGCTCGACTACCGAGAACACACTTTGTGGCTTAAAATTTATTTTCTTTCCACCTGAGAACCGCCGGACAAGAATTGGCCGGATTTAGGTGTGCTCGCTCTGTTTTCCATGGTCACGTTTTGTTCAAACTAGTGTACCAACTTTATTAAAAGTTGTGGGTCATCTAAGGCACATATTCAATATTAAAAATAACAAGAAATACGAAACCAATTTTTTTGTGGCTTCCAAAAAGGTGCATATAAGTTTCCGGCGTCACTGCGCGTGCGCAACCTTCCCTAGCCCGTCGCCAGGCTGCGCAGCATGCGAAGATCTGTATTCCAATGTGTCGCCATTGTACTACCGTAAAATACCGGGCAAGCACCCACTCAATATTTAGAGATAATCGCAAAATAATGGGGATGGGCACTTGTCCGGTCACCAATTTTACCTATAAATGTACTGCGCATATTTCCTAAGATCGTAAAAATTTGGGTGTGGGCGCTTAATGTAGAATGGGCGGATGCGCGGTATTTGACGGTACGTCATTCTCAATATGGAGACGTACCGTACCGCTGGTTGGACGACGCGGTGACGGCTCATGGCAGGCCAACGCTGCGACGAACATGGGAATGCTACTTCGAAACTGTCGTCGGCGGTACCGGTCAATCTATCTTCAAGCGCAGCACAGAGTGGAATGGATGAAGTGCGCGCAGGACAAACGGTGCACGCAACGTTGACGTCGTCGTCGTCTGCTTTGCTTGCCGGAGGAGCGTAGGGATGGAAATGAACTAATAGTGAGCGTAGCCCTCCTCTTCCACATTTCCCCCTCTCCTCAATACACTAGTCTGCCATGAATCTCCGTGCTCATGTTCCAATTTCTGAGCAGTTGAGTTTTTTTGGCTTTACTGAGAAGGTGTGCTACTCTGCAGCAAAATATTGAATGGGTAGTGCCCTGACACAATATTTAATTGCCTAATAAAAAATACAAAAATGAATTTCTTGGGTGTGTCAGTGTCCCTTTTATATGACGGACATTTGGGTCGACGGTGCCAGCAATTTGTTTCTCTCACTCTGAAGAGCAAATACGAAGAAATGATGGCCCGCTACAAGCAGCTGCTCACGTACATCAAGAGCGCCGTCACCAGGAATTACTCGGAGAAGTCCATCAACTCCATCTTGGACTACATATCCACGTCCAAACAGGCAAGTGAACGTTTTTCTTATTCTTCGCAAAGGAAAACAATCCTTTGTCCAGAGTGAAATCGGTTGAAAGGGTCATTTGTGAAACTTCAGACGGAGCTAAGACCGGGGTCTTTCCGAAAGTGTCTTCATTTTAGGCGTGATTTCATCTTTGGTGCGCTTTGTTCAGATGTGGATTCTTGAGTTGTTTTATTGATTTGTCGTATTCTAAGGTAGTTATTGTGTGAGCAATATGTTCAGTGATGTGCTCCGGCACTCGTCTTTTTACCTACCTAGGCTAACAACTCTTTCTGAATGCCCTGGCTTTCCTTTTTTAAGCATGCTATTTATTACCTCTAAATTTGGAATATTTTTTAAGGAAGCGGCAAATGACGGTGATGTCAAAACCAATATTCTAATTTTCTTGCGTTTACCAGTGGTGGATTTTGTAGGCAGGTACGAGCAGGCACTCTAGAAAACATAATATTTCGAATATCTTTGTTTGTTTTGCTAAAGTGAGCTTCCTTAGCATTCATTTCCCATCATCAAACCTGATGTACCCTTTAGCAGGTTTTACTGCCCGATTAGCAACATCTATTGTAAATTTTTGTACTGTTGCCTGCAGAGCGTTTCTGTGTAAGAACAAGTTATTAAAGTTGAAGGACTTTTTCAAAAGGATAATTATTTTGACCCATTATTTGGATTGTGAGCTTGACTCTATCTATTGATGATCCGTACCAATTTTGAGGAAAAACAGCAACCATCCAAATTTCGCTGGAGCCCTTTCTGACTGCACCAGGGATTCTTCAAACTGTACTCAATGACTTACGCAAGTTACGCGAGCTCAAACTGCACCTCAGTTTGAAAAAGAAAGTTTTAGAACTCGAGGACCCCGGTTTGTACGGACTCCCGCTGTGTTGCATTACTTCGAGCCAAGCTGTTTTAGTTTGCTCGCCTGTGTCTGTAAATATGTATTGTCTAATATTTCTTGTAAGTCAAGATACACAATAATGGCTGCTACTATGGAAGTTACTTTTATTTTGCCTTAAAGTGACACCAAACACTGAAGAAACTTTTAACATAGAGTGCTTCAATAGAACGGAATTGCTCCCAAATTTTTTTTAAGTACCTGACCTGCTAACTTATGTCACAAAATACCACCCTGCTCGAAATAAAAAGAAGAAAAAAAAAATAAAAGAGAAAGAACATTTGCATTTTAAGACTCGTTTTGAGTGGGGAGTTGTTCTCCATAGCGCGCTTGCTTCTATTTGGCACCTCTCATCTCAGAATAGAAGCACCCAATGGCAGCAGCTCGTGATACTCAAAAGAATCAACCTAAATATTGAGAAAGAATGTATTTTTTTTTTGTCGGGCGAGTTTTTTTTATATGCATCTTCTATCCAAACCCTTCTTATAAAAACTAAACAGAAAAGCTTTTGTTTGGCGTCTCTAAGTTGTAGCAGCCAAAAGGGGAAGATGACGAGTGTTAAAGGGTACCCAGCCCTTGCGAGAAAGAAGAGCTTGAACAATATTTCCACGGCAGTAGTCAGCAAAAGGGCACTCATATTTAATCACGTCCGGGTGTTATCAAGCTTTATTTGGTCGTAAAAGAATTCATATAAACTGATCTATCGAAACTTTTAACAAAGATGTCTTTTGGGTAGTACATTTATCGTACCCAAATTTTATAAATGTAGGTTTCAGAAAAAAAAAAAATTAAACACTTCCCCTCCCCTTTTTTTATGCAGGGGGGAAAAAACAAAACAAAAACTGTCTGGTTAAAACGCTGCTGCTCGCAGACGGTGCGACACGCTCGCAGACGGTGCCACACGCTCGGCTCTGTCGGATCTGCTCTTGGGTGCTCATCTCAAATAAGCGTTAACTTATTTGCTTTATGTCGTACTGTCTGTGAGCAGCAGCATCAACCAGAAGGTTTTTGCCACTTTCCTGTCCACAAGCAGGAAAAATCAGTTTTTGTAGTCCTGATTTTTTCTGGAACCTACATTTATACAGTTATGACCAATGCACACCCATTCGGATCAGTGGTGGAGTGGGCTAGTGCACACCAGCTCAGAGCACGTGGAGCGAAAGCTCACGCTGCAGTACCCAGGGATGCTGGGCTCAATCCCCACCCCTGCCCGTTTCGATCTGGATGAGCATCGTACCAGCGTGCAGTCGTGTATCACTACTGCGTGGTGCACGTTGACCCCAGGCTAGCGGTTGTATCGCACTGGCTAAATTGCTGATCTACGGCTGAGACACCAGACGCTCTCTGAGGCAGACTAACTTCCGGCTGTATAAACATACACACAGCAATTTGCTTGCTTACTTCCGTTCATTGGAGTAGACACGTTTGCAAGTGCGGTGTCAGGGCGCTGCGACCTTGCTCGGTTGGGGTGCGCTTGGACGCGTCACAATCTGATTACGAAGGCTTGCTGAGGTGCCGTATTCGGATTTGACGCGTCCAAGTGCACCCCAATGAACAAGATGGTGGTGCCGTGAAGCCAAACTTGCAAACATGTATATACACAATATTTTTTAGGCCTGAATTTTGCTTGAGAACATTTCGTACACATGTCATCTGGTTCATCACTGCCATGGGAGCATCGCTCGACCTCCTCTTTCTCGCACGGGCTTTGGTGTCTTTTTGTACCTGTCGTTGTCCCCTACTCTTGGCCGCCACAGTGGCATTGCAGCATGCAAGATCCCTCCTTCCCAGGGACGTAGCGACTCTCTTGTAGCTGCCGTGACTTGATGATTCTGTCACCCTCCGGTGACTGACACCAGATGGAGCTGCTGCAGGAGTTCTACGAGACCACCCTGGACGCCCTGAAGGATGCCAAGAATGACCGGCTGTGGTTCAAGACCAACACCAAGCTGGGCAAGCTCTACTTTGACCGCAGTGAGTTCAACAAGCTGGCCAAGATCCTCAAGCAGCTGCACCAGTCCTGCCAGGTGGGTGTTCCCAAGGCAATGGTGCCTGCAGTCCGATTTCGGCCACCAAGAGAGCGAGAGCGAAGTCTAATTTGCGTGCCGCGTTCGTAGACGATTCGTCTGGTAATGCGAGCTAGCAACGCAATTTGTCTGCTTCAAAGCGCCATTCGCAGATGGAAAGAAAACTAGAAAACGTCCGTCTGCAAACAGATCGTAAAAGAAAAAGTTGGTCGTCTGCTACTAACCGAGCGCTGTGGCGAAGTGAGATTGGACGCGGGCTGAAATTTCGATCGTCTGTTAGTTCACGTTGGAAGCCATTGGCAGCTCGCGCTTCGTTTGCAATTCTTGAGTTGTTCTGCCACCGTGCACAAGATGACATAGACTAGTGGATGATGAAGGACAAGCACATTGGAGACCGCAGGACCACCCTCACCATTTTTTTGTTGTTGAGACGTTCTTGCCAAAATGTTGTTCAGTTGTGAATGTGTGAACGGGTAAACGGCTTAGGTGTTTCCCAAGCCGTGGTGCTGCGGCTTGGGAAACGCCCAAGCCGCGGCACCACGTCCAATCAGCAGTCGAGAAGGCTCTTGCTCTCACGTTGACAAAGATCTGACCCCTGGAGCGTACCCCGTCTGGTGTGTTTAGCGCATCCAACGCGGTCCTTCGATTTTCGCCCGATGACGTCAAAGAAGGGTCGTGCTGTCACCCCTGTGATCCTGGCGGTGTCACGGCTGTGATGGTGTACGTGGCAGGTGCCTGTCTGCTGCAGATTGCTTTTCGGTTGGACAGCCCGGGGAAGCTTCAGCATCTAAGAGTTGGGTCGTCACTACCGGAGCAAAGCTCACGCACATTCATACTAAAGTCGCTGGATCCTGGGAAGGTGGCGCCATTGCCCTCCCTGCCTGCGGGATGAACTCGTGCAGATGCTAACAATACAAACAACCATCACCTTGCAAGGCGATCGGCCGATCGGGCTTCGTTGCCTTGGCGGTCGCTGGCTCGGTACCTACTTTCACATCTGGGAAGCTGCGAAAGGGTCGTTTTGATCTGGTCGTGCCGAGATCGCTATGGAGTGTAATCGTAGTGAAGGCGTTTTTCGGCAAAGAAAGAGTCTTGGCACTGTGTACGCAGTCAGCTTAGCGATTGTGTTTATGACGTTTACCTTACAATGATTTTTTAACGATGCCAACCACTGTGCCGTACGTGGTGGCGATGTGAAGATTTGCGCTTGCTTTGTCGGTGTGTGAATAACGAAATATGGTGTGCAAGAGATGTCTTGATAAAGCAACCTGGGATTTGGATCGGCTCACTGAGAATGGAGACGTCAGGGAAAAACTGCTCATTCCATGCTTTGAAATGGCGACCATACAGGGATCTTGGCACTACTTTTCCCAGGACCCAATGACTTTAGTTCATACGGGACTCAACGGATTTACCCGCACCTCCTGCACCAGCTGCACTTTCTGCACACCTAGGTATTCCATTTACGAGCGCAACCCATCTCAAAACACAACTGGAAGAACATTGCGCCGCACCTTTTCTGCGTTGGTGCATTCGGACCGAACAAACGCACCGTTTGCTGGAACTTGTACGGCCGACCGTTAGGATTGCAGCGTCCGTCGGCACGACGTGTGGGCTCGTATGATGCAATTCATTGCCACTTGGGGGCGCTTCCGATGTATGGGCCAGATAGGACAGTAAATACACTGGTTGAAGACGCACTCCTGGCACCATACAAAAGCCCCTCTGGGCAAAAAAAGTAACATTCTTTGAAGAGTGCCTTTTGTGCCATCTTGGAACTTTGGTCATTAAGTAAGTGTATTTCAAGTGTGCTATTTTAGTAGTCTATTTTTTTGCATGCGCCACAGTTTCGGTACTTAGTGCACAGCGAGCAGAACTGGCAAATATTGTGACTCGAAACGGCAACTTCGTGAGCTTTAGGTGCTCTCTCGTGGACTGTTTTAATGTTTTTGGAGGACGGAAAATTACTTCTTCCAATTTCAGATAAAGCATGAGGCAAAGTAGCAACAATGATTCCAAAGTGCCATTCACGCTCTTGCAACCGAGTAGGATGGAGAGAGACAAGACCGGTTTTTAAGCCTCTTGCGATGTCTTAGGACCAGCTCCGCAGCAGCGCATCCGGTCCTAAGACGTCGCAAGAGGCTTAAAACCGGTCTTGTTCCTCTCCGTCCTACTCAATTGCAAGTGTGTGAACGGGTCTTAAGGGCCAAGGTGGCCGACATGTTGTTACTTTGAAGTGTAGCTTGTTTGGTGACTGTCTGGGACAATCGCAATGATGGGCAAGTGCGGGAGATCAAGAAGTGGAGGTAAAAGAGTGTGCTTGGCTTAGGAGGAGGACAAGGAATGAGTGGAGGGATGGTGTCTGGCAGACAGGCGATGGGGTGGACGACCCGTAGAATGGCGGGCTGTTGTGTGTGGAGCTTCATATGAAGATCGTGACTGTACCTCGCTCGTGCCGTAGGCCCTTTAGCGGCATGTCGGCAGATTTGCTGAGCGTGTCGATTCCATAGTCTCTTTCTTAATGGTGGCCTCCTCGCAGACGAACGATAGCGCTGATGTTCAAAGACTGGCAGACTGTTGTGCGTTCAGCTTCGTGTCGATTGCGACCATTCCTTGCTTGGACGTTTCGATTCCATCATCCCTCTCTTTGACGATGGCTTTCTTGCAGACGGATGACGGGGCGGACGATCTGAAGAAGGGCACCCAGCTGCTGGAGATCTACGCCCTGGAGATCCAGATGTACACGGCCCAGAAGAACAACAAGAAGCTGAAGAAGCTGTACGAGCAATCGCTGCACATCAAGTCGGCCATCCCGCACCCGCTCATCATGGGTGTCATCCGGGAGTGCGGGGGCAAGATGCACCTTCGGGAGGGGGAGTATGAGAAGGCCCACACGGACTTCTTTGAGGCCTTCAAGAACTACGACGAGTCCGGCAGTCCGAGGCGGACGACCTGCCTCAAGTACCTGGTGCTGGCCAACATGCTCATGAAGTCAGGCATCAACCCCTTCGACTCGCAGGAGGCCAAGCCGTACAAGAACGACCCCGAGATCCTGGCCATGACCAATCTCGTCAGGTGGGTGTGCCTGGAGGGCCTTGGAGGCCCCTGTCAGGTTGGCATGCTTAAAGGCCTTAACGTCTCTAAGACCTTAAAGACTAAGTCCTCAGAGGTCTTGTCAGCATGGCATGTTTGAGAGCCTTACTATCTTGGAGACCTTAGAGGCCTGAAGGCCAGACCCCAGAGGCCATAAAGCCTTTAAGATATCCAAGGCCTTGTCATGTGAACATGCTTAAGGGGGGACGCGGGGATCGAATCACAAAATATGTGAAAAAAATTGGTTTTTAGAAATTCAAAGTTTCGGCATACTCGGGTCTTTATGTACGCGATCGCAAAGTTTCTTATCTAAAAACGAACTACATATATCCTTTATGATCAATTATATCAGCGCAGGTAGCAAAAAAATGATCTCAAAAACGCGAGAAATGCGCATGTTTCAAGCCCTCGTATCTCCGAAATGCGGCGACTGGGCGCGGCCATTTTGGCATTGATGGAAAGCGCGTTTCGCAATCGTTCCCTTTCCCGCGACGGCGCTCTTCTCTTGAAAGAAGTAAACACACAAAAAAGAAAAGAGCGAAGCACGGGGAGACGTGAACGGCGCGCTACAATTGGCTCTCTCTGGGTACGTGCTGTGTCGTGCTTCGTAATTGGCTCGCGCCGCGGTTGCCCCTAGCAACCGCTCCCGCCGCGTTCGCTTTTTGGTTCTCGGCGGTGGTCTCGGAATCGCACGCGAGTTTCGGGTTTGCTCGATCGCAGTGTTGACTTCCGTTAATTCCGACTTTGACTTGCAATCATGGACGGGCGCTCGTTCAAAAAGAAGTATTGGACTACACATCGGTTCGGAAACCGCAAGCGGAAGTCTCCGATGGCAAAGAAACGCCGGATAGTAGTTGCTCCTTCAACGCCCGTAAGTGAGCCCTTTGTTGGAGCGCCGCTAGATGCTGCCTCCGAGATCGCGTGTCCAGTCACTGGCACTGCGGATGCCACGGGTATGCTGGGTGTAGCAGACTCAACGAACAGCGATCGAACTGTTCAAATTCACTTGCAACCACAGTTTTTGTCGCCGGAAATATCCCGCAAGCGCACCGCGGTGGTTCGCGAGTCACTCAGTTCAGTGACCGCAACGGAACGAAAGATGCTGCTTACCGGCCAGGGCAAAAATGCTGTGGGACCAGAGCTACCCGCGAGACCAGAGTCAGCTGATGAAGAATTTATTTTGGTTCAGATCTCGGCAATCAGTGCTCTGTTGAAAAACACGCCGTGCCAACAGTGCTCGCGACCTGGGTTGACCATCGAGCAAGGCACAAGGCTCGGTTTAGCCTCCAAAATGATCCTCACATGCCCCACATGCGGTCCCGTCGAGAGCGAAGGGTCATCGCCACGAAGAGAAGAAGGCAGAACGTTTGAAGTGAACCTGAGGTCCATCCAAGCCATCAAAAGTATTGGGAAAGGTTCTACAGCTCTCACAGACTTCTGGTCTATTATGAATGTGTCTCATAGAGGAATGCACCATAAGACATTCCAGGGCCACCTCAAGGCAAGCTTCAAGCCCGCTTCAGAGGCAGCTGCAGCAAGTGTATTTGATGATGCTGTGGCAGCTGTATGCAAGGTCTACACAGACATGGATCCCATATTCACAAAAAATGTTACCGTGGTCTACGACGGTACGTGGATGACTTGCGGTCACACCTCACACGTCAGTGTAGGAACTGTCATAGAATTTTTCACGGGTTTGGTCATAGACTCCGTCGTCCTCTGTAACTTGTGCCTTGGGTGCACGCTGGGCCAGAACGAAGAGCATGTCTGCCAAAAGAACACGGATGTGAAGTCAGGAAGAATGGAGGTCGAAGCTGCGCTGCTGTTGTTTCGCCGTTCCCTGGCCAAGAACGATCTTAGGTATACAAACATTGTTTGTGATGGGGACAGCCGCACCTTCTCGGCCCTCAGCGAGGATGCTACGTACGGGTTCATCCCATTCACAAAAGAAGATTGTGTGAATCACGTTCAAAAGAGAATGGGATGTGCTTTGCGAGCTCTCGTCACCAAAGCCAAGAAGGGAGAGCCGCTTGGCGGAAGAGGGGGTCTCACTCAGGACCTCATCAAGCGACTCACAAGCTACTATGGGATGGCTCTGCGGAACAACTCGGACGTAAAAGAAATGCAAAGGGCAGTGATGGCGACGTTCTACCACATCACGTCCACGGATGAAGAGCCGCATCACGACCTCTGTCCTCCCGGTGCCCTCAGCTGGTGCAGGCACCGAGCAGCAGAAGCTGAAGAGCGACCTTAACCAGTACACAAGTACAAGCTTGCAAGCCACGTTGCCGCCGCACTCCTACCCGTCTACCAGCGCCTTTCGGAACCTCAACTCCTCGAACGGTGCAAGGGAGGGAAGGCCCAGAACGCAGCTGAGAGCCTTCATTCTGTCATTTGGTCTATCCTACCCAAGGAGGAGCATGCCTCCTTGATAGCAGCAGAGACTGCTGTCAGCGAGACAATCTGCCGCTTCAACTCTGGTAACCTGCGCGCCTATGAAGAGTTGTGCTACTCTCTCGGGATCCAACCAGGAGCACTGGCACTCCGCAGGGCCCTGGAGAAAGACGTCTCAAGGCAAAAGAAGGCTTCACGAGCTCTCCAAGCCAAAGGACAGAGGGCCAAGAAGAGCCACGCTCAAAAGGACACTAAAGACTATAACCCTGGAGGCTTTTAGGGCGTACAATAGAACTTTGAACATTGAACCTTTTTTTCTCAAAACGGTAAATTTGGCTATCCATTCGGCTTGTGGAGCTAATATCTTGGGAACCACTTGGATTATTTGGGTTCTATTTGTTTTGTATAACTCTTCTGGCCATTGCATACATCATGACATTCTCAGTTTTCTAAAATAATGTTCAGAAATTTTGTAAAGCCATCTTCAGAAAGTGCCACGTGTGCATTCATCGAGCCTAGTGGACAACAGTGTTAGTTAAAAATAACAATGAAAAAAAAAATTTAAAAAAGCAGGAATGTCATGATGTGTAGCATGCATTTGGGCATGCACTCAAAGTCCAAGCAACTCCGTATTATGTTTTGGAAAACCTGGAGGCCCTCCACTAACTTTCAAAAAGTAAAATATTGGAAATAAAATGTTAGCAGGGATATCCCAAAGAAAACTTGTCTGTTTTATAGCATAAGCATTGTTACTATCTGTGCAAAGTTTGATATAAATCCACCCACAAACAAAAAAGTTATTGCCCATCCCCACCTCCTCCCTTAATGGTTGGCGTATATCGTAGGTTTTCTGCAGGGAATATTTCTTGGCACCTAAATTAGCAAGGGGAGCAAATTAAAGGTTGGAGAGGATATGGGAAAGGAGGAAGAATTATAAAGGGGAAAGTGCAAAGAGCACGTTTGTCTTTAAATGGGGCGTCAGGATCTTCGTTTTGAATTCCGCATGTGTTAATATTTGGGGCAGGTAATAGGCATGGGAGGGGTGTTTTTTTGCCAAACATTTAATATCTTGAACTTCCTTCCCCCCTCCTCCTCCTCCTGTGGAAACACCTACATTTGCCCCTTTGGGCATGGTTCTAGACCTTAACATCTTTTAGACCTTAGGCTCTTACCTGCTAATGACGGGTGTTACTTCTGCTGTCCGCCAGGAACCAAAATGCCCGACAACGAGTCTGGCTCGTGCTTTGGTTTCGGAGCTTGCTTTGTGCACTCTCCAGCAGATGGCAGCACTTGCGCTCTCACTTTGCCCCCTTCAGGTTATCTTTGTTGTTTGAAGTTTCATCAAGAGACAACTATGTTTCCAGGAAAAGACAAATTCAATGTCTGCAGGCATGGGGAAAGATAACGTCGCCATATTACCGCAGTGCGAAGTTCTGCTTTAGCTGAACACGAAATACAAAAACGTTTGATTGAAAGTGATGAGTGGTGTACCATTTCCATTGGCACGTCGTACCACCTCTTTGATGACTGGGGAACTCTATTTAAACTTGCTTCTCCGAGCACGTTGATGCAAAGCGGTGAAGCTTTGCGCATGGCTGCCAGTGCGAAGCGATGAAGCTTGATGCGAGAGCGCCAGCGCAAGGGGAGCTTGACAAGAGCGACGCAGCTGCTTTGGAAATCGGGGATGTCGCCAGACTCCTATTAGGGGGATCGAACTATAGGGGGCACTCTGGCCAGCTTGTTTCACGGAGCTTGGTATTTACTCGGTGCATGACCCGTGGAATAGATTCTAGAATTTATCTTCCTCGATAGAGCATGAGTCACAGTGTAACGAAAAAAAGTGCTAACTATAAACGGGGCAACGTTGGCGGGACGCAACGAGCAGAATCTTTCCCGAAAGCAGTCCGAGCTGGATGCAAGTTTCACCCACTTCAGCTCTTGTGCTGGGCAGATGCATAGTGCATGCTGCGTCGTTTGTGCACGCAGGATTGGCTAGTAAAGAGGCTCTCCTCGGGCAACGGGAGAACACAAGCCCTTGCCGTACGCCGACGCAACAATCGACTGGCCGACGCCACGTCAGCATTGTGACGTAGCTGAACGCTGATGTGGTGACGAAGCCGAACGCCGAAGCAGCCTTCAGCTACGTTAGCCAAGCGTTGCGTCATCGTTGTTCCCATGGGTGTGGTTCTAAAGTTAGTTGGGTGCAGTGGTTGGATCTCCTCCCGAGTACCGCTCCGACACGGTTACGTCAAATCAAACAAACACTTACCCTACCGTGTGCACCTTCCGCTTTTCTGCTCTCGGACTTAAAAAATCCCCCTTTTTCCATGATTATCTCGACACTTTGGTGGCTGCTTTCTCCTTATTTTACGGTGCCCTCTCCTACTTTCCCCGCTTAGCATGGGCATCATTCCGTTTCAATTGACCCACAATTATTTTGTGGAAGGCTGCCTAGTAAGGCTCGATTTGAGAATACTCTCTAACCGTGTTTTCGAGGTCTTTTAAACAAACTAAAGTGTTTTGGAGTCGATAACCACCAGGAGTGATGTTCAGGACGTTCCTTGCATCCCGTTTCAGTGCCTACCAAAACAACGACATTAGTGAGTTCGAGCTGATTCTCAAGACGAATCGGAGGAACATCATGGACGACCCCTTCATCAGGGAACACATTGAAGGTGCGTGCGTCGCCGAGCTTCCTCCACTTGGGTGGAGTTGACTCACGGGCACGTTTTCTCTTGCAGACCTCCTGAGGAACATCCGGACGCAAGTGCTAATCAAGCTCATCACGCCCTATACTAGGATTCACATACCTTTCATCTCCAGAGTAAGTCTCGCATGCTCTCGAGGATGTCGGTTTTTATGATGCCTGGAACGTGTCTCCAACCGACATGGTCGCCAGGTCCTCAGATGTGGATCGAAGGTTTCCGCCCGACGACCTCCATGCCGCAGTATAAACTGCGGCATGACACTATACACTGACAGCACGGCAGTGTAAAATGCGAACTGAAACACGGACGAAATAAGAAACATGTACAACAAGGACACGCGCTAATAAACAACTGATTCTATCGAAAAAACATTCACTCGGCCGGACCGTCTTTCACGGTACTGGTAGTAGGATACCAGTGCAGGTGGTACCCTGTTAGTCCCAAGTGGGACGGATTGGAATGCTGCGATCGCTCGACGGTAGCGTAGTGACCAGTATCATGCGACGAGGCCAGGTATTTTCTCCGCTTTGCTGTGTTTTCTCCGCTTTGCTGTGCTTTAATTGTTTGCTTTAGCACGTAGGAGCAGAAGCTCTTCGCTAAACATATTTTGTTTTTGTTATTACGTAAAATGTGCGTAGGACGATTGAAAAATTAATCCGAGCATGCCAAGCGAAACAATCGTAAGTTGTTAGTAGGTTACGACGGAGTCCTGCGATAGCTTAATGGCTGCCAATACCACTCGGATACTTCTCTGTGGAGACCAACGAGCATACTTCTACGAGCTCTCTGTGTGCTCGCTGACTCGAAGCACCAAATGAAAGGAAATACGTGCCCAAAACTACAATCCTCTGTGAAGCCCGTTCGATTCTCGAGTTTCGAAAGCAACGACTGCAATACCGACGACTTCAGCGACGGCTCAACTCAGTGGGAAGGCCTAGCAAGGCGCTTGTCACTCGCTGCCCCCCACGACCAGCGGCCTTGTTAAATAGATATGTTCGCTTGATCCACTACTTTGTTTTAAGTGGACCCATTTGGTATGAATAGTTTGAACCTTGACCTAGATGTTCTGGTTAGAAGGTGAGGTTTATCTCTTCGTCATACCTACCCTTTTCAGATTCGGAGTGTTGTGCTGTGGTGGCGGACTCTCTCGTCGCTGTGAAACACTTGTCGATTCTACAGTCGCCGACCGATTATTCGGACTTTGCAGGGACCGAAAAAACGTCCGAATAATAGAGCAGACCGAAAAATCAGCAGATTAAAAAACTTGCCTTTATTACTTCCAGGTGGGGTTAAAAAAGCCGTAAATAGGGCCTTGCTTCAGGTTATACCTGCGCGCTTTGTTTTCGGTTACGCCTCCGTAACTCTTTGGGAACCATATTGTCCCAGAATCTACCTGTTCAGTCACTTGACCAGCCTCTGAAGCCACGACGATGACCGATTTGGTCGTGGTCGGTACGATAACACGAGTCTGGGTCATTGGGTCCTGTTACGTAGGCCGCGACGCCACTTGTGTCGCACTGCTCAAGTTAAATTATGACGAGAAGTACAATGAAAAAATGAGTTCAAAAGCAACCCTAAACTCGTACAAAATAACCGACACACCTCAACTTGCATGCTACCGACGGAGCGCAGAAGCGGTAATGTGATCCTTGCTACTACGTCATGAAAAGAAGCCTCCAGGTTCTTTTTCAAGGCTAATGTGCACGAGGCGTTGCACAACTTCAAAAAAGGTAGCTGCCAGGCACAAAGTCAGTGTTGTGTTTTCAGCCTCTGGCAGACTTTCCCTGATCTGTTCGGCCTTGTCGAGGGAAAAGCATGTCCCGCGTTCCGAGAGGCACGTTACGGTAAAAAAGTGGTCTTCGAAATTCCCTTTAGTTGTCGCCATGCTCATGTTGGGACAGACGGTACATTGTTTTAACAATGGGACGATTCAGCACGGCTTGCTGTGGGGGGGGGAGGCATCTTGCGGAGCATTGTAAGCGTTGCAGTTGGGAACCGCTTTCAGTTTTGTCGATTTCTGTTAAAAGGGCAAATGACAAAACAGAAAGAGAAATCTTTGAAGCTTTCTGCTCGAAGAACGCGGGTGAAAAGTGGGTTAGCGTGCCATCTATTTTTCTGCTGGATAAGGAAATGTCTTTCTTAGATGATTTCATATAAGACTGCAGATATGTTATCGGTTTATGGCCTGTTATCGGCATGGTGAACGACAGTCTGGCTAAGTGAATGTTACTTCAGCAAAATCAGTTGTGAGTAGCGCCTGTCCTTGCCGTGCATGTTTCTTGTTTCGTCGGTGTTTCAGTTTGCACTTTTAACCTTTTAAATGATACAAACCTACTAGATCCGACCAAAGTTTTATGGTGTAAACTTATCCTCGCATGCTGACAGATCTTGACGGTGATAAAGGTTTTCGCTTGTTGTAGAAGGAGCATGCAGAACGGAGAGGCTCTTACTGCAGACTTCGACGCAGATTACGTCTAGAGTCTGTTCTGACTGGTTAGTGAGACTGGAAAGATGTGAATATGTATTAGAAAATAACTCGTTTATTGAACTTTAAGGCCCAGTGATTTTTTTTATTGAGCTGTAACGATGGTCATCACTGGACACTTTGGGTCATACGAGGACGGCAGCTTGCGAAATGATTGCTACCGCTACCGTACCAATGCTGCGTAATGTCAGAAATGATGACTGCTGTCGAGGGGTCTGCTATAATGGAATGGTGTACTTACAAACCCCCTAATATAGTACATTATATTAGATTGTACATCATAACCGAGTTTGTAATAGGCAAAGTTGGCTCAATGGCGTACATAGGAAGGTAAACCAAACTTCGAGTGCCCGCTGTAACCTGATCTATTGTAACGAGGGTATACTTTACGTGGATACTCTCGGAAAGAGGCACAGTTCCGAAATGCGGCTCTTGGCGTTTTTGATTCGGTCTGGGGATACTGTTTTACGGGTTTTGGTTGAGTTAGTTGGTACATACTGTTGGCAATGAGGTCATCTGGACACGGAAAAACAGGAACACGAAGGAAAGGACTGGACGATCACACCACTGTGATTGTCCAGTCCTTTCCTTCGTGCTCTTGTTTTTCCACGTTCAGCTGACCTGATTGCCAACAAAACTGTTTCAGTTTGTGGGCTGTTCTAATAGAATAGGCTACAGAATGCAATAAAGTGAGAGTTACTGCGCCGGCAAGCTCGTGCAAGATCATGCTAATACAAAGTCCGATGCAAAGGAAAAAAAACTTAAAAAAACTATGTCGAAATCGCCGCTGTTGCTATGCCGATTCTCGGCGAAACGTGTCAGCATTTAGTGCAGAGTTTCCGTCTCGGCGGAGGGTGGGAATTCCAATCTCGCAACGTTCCGCACACAGTTGTCTTCAGAGCCAGTCTTTCCTCCCAGGTGTAGGCGGTCTTGCGCAAACGGCGTCGCCGTTGCATTTCGGTTTTACGTTGTTGTGTAATGAAAAACTGCTGCTTGCAACGGGCAATAATTGCTAACACATTTAAGATGAAACGAAGACAAGCAGAATATAGTCTCAAACTTCATTGTGCTTGAGCTCTTTGAGACTTCATTGTCCTGGTCCCCTTTTACAGGGGAGCTGTTAAGGGCTAGGTTACCCAGGATTGTGTCCGGTATGTCGACACAAACCTACCTGGACAGCTACCGCCATCTATAAGCGACGGTGGCAAGCACACAACCAGTATGGTTTCCGCCGTCGCTCGTAGATGGCGGCAACCTTTCAAGCTATAATAGAAGAATGGATGGTTGGGCGCGTTGGTGGGAATTCACCATAGGAAACAGCGCGAAAAACAGATGACGACCAAGAAGAAGCACACAGTGTATCGAGTACAGCTCCGCTGGTCTTCCTTCTTCACAAGAGTGGAAAGGCTGAACGTTTTTGTTTTTATCTTGCCTTCGGAATTATTTTGTATGCAGAATGCACCTCCTGCATTTTTTTTGTTAGGCAGATCAGTGAGAGCCAGCAGGAGACACTGATCCGGCGCAACAGTATGGCTGCTGCGATGTTACTTTCTGTTGTAGGCCAATTAGTGGCTTTAGTAGGCTTCATGAAAGTTCAGTTTTGGTGGGTTTGTCTTTAGTGCAAGGGGTGGGTAACTTTTGTGGTGTGTCCCATTCTTGGGTGCGCACCAGACTTGCTTATCTGGTGGGTCTACGACCGACCGGACCACTCTTGAATATCCAGATTGTCACCGACCGTTCAGGGTCAAGTCTGCGTGTTGTGCGTCTCCCATGAGCAGATTAGACATTTGTGTTTAGTTAGCATATGGTTGATCTGCCTTTGAGCAATGGTGACACTGGTTTGCAGTATAGTTGAGAAATTTAGGCAGTACAGTACAACTGCTAGCCTGCGGTATTTAGCATGCACTGTGCAGTAGTGATACGTGAACACATGCCAGTACGATGCCCATCCAGATAGAAACGTGCGGGTGCGGGTAGGGAGCCCAGGATTCCTGGGTTCTGCAGTGCGAGCTTTCACTCTACATTCTTCGAAGCGTGAAGTGCACAGTGTGAAGTGGAAGCTTGCTTTGCAAATTTGAGCACCGTGTAAACAATTTCCCTGTCTCGCCAGTTTGATACATAGCGGGCGTTCTACTGGTGTGCATGTCCGTAATAACTGCTTAAAAGAAGTAGCTGTCGTACTTCGGTAATGTGTAGCTTGTGTCAGTTTGTGTGAGGGCCCCCAAGTTAAGTTGGCTTATATTTCTCTTTTTTCTATGCTGTTTGCAGGAACTCAACATAGACTCTAACGAAGTAGAAAATCTTCTAGTTTCCTGTATCCTGGACAGGTGAGTGCCCACCCGTTTTTTTTCGACGTATTCTGTCCAAGGTGCGGGGACTGAACTGTTAATAACTGCGCTTGGTGTCAACTAACTTGTGCCGCATCGTTGAGGCTAGCGCAGTTTCCACTGCTGCCACTGCTGCGGTAGCACATAGCTCCATCTTGCACCTCATTTGCACGCGCTCTTGTGTGAAGGCAGTGCAAAACAAAGCCATGCACTGGTGCTAATAGCTTTGATGGTGTTGGAGTACTGTAGAAGCTACGGCAGCCTTGAGAATACAGCCCGAAATAGTTGGCGTCAAATAGAGTTTTGTTTACGATTGCGGTTTAACCTCCCCCTGTCTCAACGGCACGGTTAACGTTTAAGTAACGTGCGGCCCCGGCGACGCCTTAAAAGTTTCCCGTCTGTCCAGTACGATACAGGGCCGGATCGATCAGGTGAACCAAGTGCTGGAGCTGGACAGCAAAGGACAGGGGGCAGCGAGGTACAACGCCCTGGACAAGTGGACGGCCCAGCTGGGGACGTTGCACCAGACCATCGTCAACAAGATCATGGCGTAGCGTCGGCCGAACTTCGTCCCCCTCTGCACCCAATCCCCCCCCGCGCGGCGGCCAAGGGTCGCAGCTTGCCGCCGGCGTACGTTCCGTTTAAACCTCGAGGATTGCACGAACGACAGTTCCGACTCTGTCGAAACGGGGCGCAAAGTGGATCCAAGAACTGTCCACCGCAGCTACGTCACTAACAGTGGCGAGTCCGCGTCGTAAGAAACGATCGCCTCTTTGTTGGGCGTGATGGGTGTTCTTTCTCGCACCCCGTTTCGGCGCCAAGGTCAAAAACGAGGCAGGCGTGCGGGCCGTTCTCGCATGCCACATTTACCCGAACATACGTCAATCTTCTTGTGAACAAGGCCGACACGTCCACTTGCCCGTGGACCACGTGGCGACCGGTCGACACCATTTAAGGAAGCGCGGCGAATCACAGGACAGCACTAAAGTTTGAACCAGGTGCTTACGTGGAGTGGGGCATTAACACGTTTAAAATCCCGGCACGTGTTCTGGTTTCAAGCCCTGTGGTTTGCGGTGCCTCATCATCATTTGCTGTTCTTTCAGAAACCGCAATGGTCGTGTCGTCCTCTTGCCACGTGGGAAAGCGGGACTCGAGGGCTTGCTTCGCACAGAAAGACTGACCAACGTCTAGGCAGACACGGTGCTTGGCCGTTTCAGAAGATCACTTTCACTTCTCGTTTGGACGGAGTCGAGAGTGTATGTGTGTCGAGGCCACGAGGCGAAACGGACCGTACCCGTTGCCCCAAAGGCAAGCCTGTCCCCGCCGCCGCCGCCGCCGTAGTTTGTTTCTTTCCCTGTACATAAACGAACCTGTCTGGATGGCAGTGCTTTCATGGGCTTTCCAGTCCTTTTCCCCTCCGTCTGCCTTTGGCTGGAGAGCCCTGTATTTAATGAGCGAGAGAGTGGAAACCGCATGTGGACGCTTGGAATTTGTAAAATAAAGATGCAGTGTCGGAGAGTGTTTTCGAGAACGCCGGCGTGTTGGGTGTGAGTCTTTCATCGGCGATGGTTTCGGGCGGCGTTCGGAAAAGTGGACGTTGCTTTTCAAGTATGGCGAGAGGAAGTGGGGATAGCAGCTGTTTACAGTGCCTGCTGCACTAATGCTGGTTTGGTGCACCAACATATTTGTGACGATAAATGCTTGACAAGATTTTTTTTTTTTTTTGGTTGGGTCAAGGAAACTATTGAAACATGCATTCTCTGATTTAAACTTGTCTTTACACTTTATGCAAACATTCGGGAAATTATTTTAATACCGGCCAAGCATTTAGCTTACCTGCCTTGATACTTTAGCATCTGCTGTCTGCCACCGTCAATTTCCTTACATGGCGCGGACTATGTTCATGCCACCGTTTTCAATCCCTAAACGGATCTTGACCCTTACCAAAACAAAATGTGATATGTGCTTAGTTGCTCACGACTTTTCATACACGCGTTTGCACCGGTGCAGGTAAATTGCTCTGACAGTGCACTTTGACGCCATTTTGCATATAATGACTTGTAACGGTGGATGGTGTGATGCTGCAGGTATGAATTCATAATGAGTAATCCCACATGACAGCATCCATTGAAGCTGTTCAGAAAGCTGTGGATACGACACCCTTTCTGTACGCTGCATTATGCAACTGGAGAGATACTGCGAGAAATTATCTTTAGTTGAAACATTGGTATACACTTTTACATGAATGTTTATCTCAACACTTGTAGATACGTTAAAGTGGGTTTTGCCACAATGGGTTTATAGTTTCATATAGATTAATGATGCGCTCCTGCTGCTGCATGGCACTTCACGTTGCCTCAACTGTCTCGTTAGGTTGTCTTGTCTGCTCCAAAACATTATACTAGTTCTCCATGTCTTCGTCGCGGAACTCTGCAGCCTCGATGCATGCCGGTGGTCTAGCAGTCGGTGACTGGTCCCCTTGTCCTGGAAAAGCACGATTCGTTTAGTAACGGCGTCGTATGGTGCCTGGAGCGTGTCCCCGACTGGCGCGCTTACCAAGTCCTCGAGAGACCCAATTTGTTGCCACTTTGGGTCCCCCTTCGGTGCTTGGGTCGGACACATTTTTGTACAGGTTACACAAAAATGTAATCGACTACATTTACAATTGCTCTCGATTAAAAAGTATTCATTTGGATTACTCCTACTTTGGATTAGACATACAATTACAATTGCTCTCGATTAAAAAGTGTTCATTTGGATTACTCTTACTTTTGATTAGACGTAATTGGCCGTTACTTGGAAAAGCAACTTGCTCCATAAAGGTATTGGCTTACTGGTTACGAGTACAGTACAAGTCTGGTGGGTCAGGACTTTAAACGGACCAGTCGAAGACTCGTTCCAGGCACGGTAGTAGCGGCAGGGCAGATGTGGACTGCGAATTGCACCGAAGGGAGTTACGTTTGCACGGGGCCATTCCGGCTTCTTCGTTCCCGGGGCGTTCCTCCTTGTCGGCATAGGTGTTCCACTTGAAGATTTCCTTTTCGAGGCTCTTCATCTTTCTGCAACGTTGAGGTGCGCGGTACTGACGGATGGTACGGTCTAAAGGCTGGTTCTCGCATTCGCTTTTGGCTGTGTCTTTGTGCGTTACAAACGCCTTCCGACTGCTTGCGAAGAGACGACACTGTTACGGTGGCGTCATCTGTCGGCGGCGACGGAAAAAATTTTGACGTGCGTATAACTAGACCAAAGACTTCACGGTGCTTGCGAGATTTGAACATTCTTTATGAGAAATGGGCACTTGTGGCTAGGATTTCGTGTTTTCGGAGTTTATTTCTCAGGGAAATTCGGAGGGTGTTTTTCGGAGTTCCATTTTCGCCTAAAATTCGGGGTCTATCGGAGTTCATTTACAATTTTTCGATTCCCTGAAATTCGCTGCTTGCCCTACTGTGTTCCCAATTCTTAAAGATTCAAAACAAAATAAGTAAAGTTTGGGTACCATGATCTGTTGTCCCGGAGGAACTTTTAGGAGCTACGAGACGAACCCCTTTTGTCGGTAGTTTGAGATTTTAAAGGAAACTGAAGTTGCATCTTCTCAGGACCGCTGAGCTTGCGCTCTTATGAAGTTCACTTGTAAAACAGCCATCTTTTGCTCTTTATCTCGTCTCTGTGACCTCAAAAATCAAAGTTTTTCGGATAAATCCGAATTGGCGAGAAGGTTACCTGCGAGCGTCGTTAGGATTTCTTTTGGGATGTATCCAAAAACACGGAATCATACTTATAAACATTGCCACAGTTATTTCAAGCTTGCAAAAGGAAGCGTACAGATTTGTAGTGTTGCAAGGCTACCTGATAGGGGGCATTAGCATGTTGTCTCGTATGAAGTCTCCAATGGTAACGTAGTCGTCGGCCTCAACCAAGCGCAAATAAAGCGAACCAGCCTCAGTAGTGCGAGACATTTGGGTGCATGCTCACAGCCTGTAGAGGGTGCAGGTGTCCTTTGCTGCTTGGAGTTGATCTGTCAACTGCCACAGCTCTTCGTTCACATCATTGGTTGTTGCTTGTTAAAGTAAAGGAGGGGGGAGGGGGAAGCGGAGGAAGAGCTTGCATGTTGAAAGTTTACGGCGGTCTACATCACACTCGTAACAAATTGGCGACAAGAATAGGATGCAATGCAAACTGCGATCTGTCGCAGGTTAAGAATGGCGGGGTAGGTTCTTCCCTCCACGCCCTTGACTCTCCGTTTTAGCAGAGCGAACTCTAGAGAGGAGGACAGCACCAATCGTGGTGAACAGATAATGGTGGGAGGGACTTGTTCGGCTATTCTGAACCCGCAACCGACTAAAGGAGTAGACACGTTGGAACTCAACCATAGTCCACATCACACTCTTCCTGGGAGCGACGCTAGACAAAATTATAAAATTTGTTGCCTATCCTCCGCAGGGAACATAAGAAATGACCACTAATCAATTATTCACAATATACACGCCAGTGACGGACATTCTACACCACGAGCTGCTATATTTTGTGCCCACTTACCAGCTTCGCAAAGAATAGATCCTTTTCAAAAGCTGTGAGTTTAGGTGAAACAAAGCCTAAAAATTGCTCATCTACCGCGCTGGCCCACGCCGTTGCCTGAGGTTCCTAGAGTATAGAGAAAAAAAAGTAGCAAAATAGTGCTATGGCAACTTCTGTGATAAGACGGAATCGAGGGGCTTTCGCTCCTCCTGTTGAGCTCATGATTATCGTGTCTGCCACATGCCCCCATGCCGGCTATGCCGTGCCGTGGCTAGGGTGTTCCGTGGCACTTGCGACGCGCGCGTCAACCTTCATCGCTTTGCACCGTCGCTTGTGTGTTTCGAGCTTCACCGCTTGGCACCCGTGTGCTAGGAAAAGCAGCTAACATGGGGGAGCGCGGTTAGCACGTTATGGTTTCGGAAGTTCATGCTCGGTACTATTACAGATAGGCTTCCTTTAATCGTAAAATCTCAAAAGTCGGGAAAGGGGGAAGAGGGGGTGCATGTTTTTATTGCACAATGTTTTAGTGGGTAGGCTTATTTTTTTTTCTGCCAGCATCTTACAGAAGTTAAATTTATAGGTTAAAAACCCATGAGTAAAAAAAAAAAGAAAAAGAAGACTTACAATTCTATGCAATGCCGAATTAGAGCGCAGCTCTTGAGGAGGAGGAGGGAAAGGTACGAAGGAGGGTATCCTCCATAGAGTTATTATAATGTACGCTAGAGGTTCAAGTGGCGCTAATGTGCTGACGCAAATTGAAGCAGACAGCAACCAGTCGAAAATTGACTTACGGTAATGCATTTCTATGGGAAAAGGTGAGTGCATTTTCTCCTTGCGCTTAATCATAAGAGCAAGTATCTCGAATAATTCGTACGTACTAGGTAGCTTGGAACATTTCTCAGTCAGGCCGATGAAATAATTGGTCAGTTACGGTGTTTTTCTTTCGAATTCATCGCATTAAAAACGGTGCTAAAACGGCTTCGTACATGTATTTATGTGCACTGTCGGACACTGTTAGCGCGAACACGACGTTGGCGCTTTTCAGCGTGGGGGATAAACGTGCCAAACGAACGAAGAACATCTGGAAATTAAGAAAGACGGCAAGAACTACGCAGTAACACTGGATCAGTGACTACACGTGCATATACGATCAAAATAAATTGAAGGCACGCAATCTATTCCAATTTTAAATAAGTAAGTACCGCTTTATTCTTCTGCTCTGAGCGAAGCTGCTTGTTCGTCGTTCAAAATATCGCTCGCACGCTCGAAATCTTTGAGGACAAGTGCCCGATAAAAGCTGCCCGACAGAAAACAATAAGAGACATCTTTCATAGCCCACGGACTTTATTCTCTACGTTTTGAATGTTTTTATCTGCTCATGCACGACGGGGTCCTTTTTATATAGTGACAGGACTGGCATATTATCAATATATAAGCGTCACCGGAATGCTGGCGAGCCTTGAATACACTCTACATTCCTTTCGATTGTAATTTTGCTTCGAATTGTCGCTTGTTTTTGCACACCTGCTGCGGAACACACGTTTGGGATTGAAATGCAGCGAAGTTAAACATCGTTCACTGATGAAGAAAAATGCGCTTACTAAAGCAATTACACTTTTACAGTGTTAATCAAGGTACATGATATTCGGTACGGCCCAAATAACCAAAGCGTTGCTTGTTATTTTTCGTCGAAGAGGCAAAATGCACGCGCGTTTTCCCATAGGAATGCAAAGGAGCACCGCAAAAGTAGACTGGTTGCTGTCTGCTTCAATTTGCGTCACGGAAGTCACATAGACATTACCGCCAGTTGAACCTCTAGCGTACATTATAATAACTCTATGGTATCCTCTTCTCCGCACCCTCTGCTCCCCTTCTCCTCCCAATATTATTTCAGCTACCGGAACTGCTACAAAAGCACAAATGCCTCTTCCATCACTGAAATGCTAATGTTGCTGTATACACATTCGACGTGAGAGCGAAGCCAAATTACACAATATTAAATAAAATGACGCTGTT